ATTCTTATATTGTTGGTCATGCCTATTATTCCCAAAGAAAAAATATGTTTGGAATGATAAAAGATTTTCGGATATGAATAATATTTCAAAGGCAGTTAAACGGCAAAGAATCAACCGCTCATTTTCAGTCGATGATTCAATTAAAAACATTTGGCCAAGTATTGAAAATATGATAGATTCGATGCGCAAAATATCAATTAAACAGCATAATTCTAAAAGTCAAATCAAATAGAGAAATATTGAAAATATTGATCAACTCTATATGCTTTCTTGGAATTCAGGAGCTCGTATTCCGTGGTGATGATGAATCTTCTAATTCAGTAAATAGATGAAATTATATTGTATTAATTTATTTGCTCGCGGAAGAAAATTTATTATTAAAACATCATTTAGAAATAGTGCAGTTTTTATTGGACTATCAAGCAATATTCAAAATGATTTGATTAATTCTATTTCATATGTCTTACACCAAAAAATATTAAATTCGTCGAATTATTAGATATTAGTAAATTCCAAATAATCAATTTCTATTAGATAATTTAAACGACACTTATTCTCAATTTTTCGACTTACACAAGCTGGAAACCGAATTAAAGGTAGTGTTTCGGGATGTTGAATTTAGAAAGAAAAAGATTAATAAAATACTTGAATTTTTAGTATGCACCGATTTGATGAAAAGTATTAAAGAGTTTTTTAAATTATGCAAATCCATCTAAACTTTGGCTACAACAGCAAGTGCAGAATGGAGTTTTTATCTTAAAAAAGAATCAAATCTTTTTGCAGAAAGAGGATGAGCCAAAATCGATTATTGAATCTATCTTTGATTTCGATTGAAAAAAAATTATTAAAAAATTTAAAATCTATAATTTTTATAATGCAGTACTTGATCATCTTACTCAAAAAAAGATGAATACCACTTATTTATAAATTTTAATGTTTTTATGGTTTGAGTTTGACTAAAGTAAAATTTTTGATTGCTTCCCTATTAGTAAACTTGACGCTTCGTCACTGAATCTTAATATTGTTAATTTTAAAGGAACTAATACACTAATAAGGTCCTTTATTTGGGACCAATCATCTTCCGACAAAATGACTTCACATGCTCCTTTAATAAAATCATTACAGAAATCTTTCAAACTTAATAATCGTTCTAGCATCATACAAATTGAGGACCAGCGTGTTGTGCATTATCATTTAAATTAAAATATTATTACTTGTACTACAAAATAATTCACTTTCAAAATAATTAACGTATTTCTATAACATAGCATATTAATTTACATAATAAAATATTATTACACTGGAAAATTATGATGTCAATCTCTAAATAAAATGGAAGTCCAGAAAAAAAATTGAAAGAAAAACGTGAAGAAAAAATAAATGATTCCACAAAAAAAGTTAATAAAATTTAAATTATTTTTTTAAAAAATATTTTTATTTTCAAAATTTTTTACGACACCTAGAACCCTTGGACCCTCCACTTTTAAAAAGGGTCCGGGTTCAGCCAAAATACGAGGGTCCAGGGTCCGGGTTCACATCCCTGCTCATAACTCACGAACGGTTCATTCCGTTGGTATACGGTTCTGGAGGATCAATTAACGGGTTACACATTAGCATAATAATCGGTAATTGATCCTAATTTTTTAAAATAATTACGACTTCACCTTATTAAAACGGTTATAACTCGTTAGTGATACTGATATTCGGTTTGGAGATTACTAACGTAAATATTAAATACTAAATAATTGACAAGTTTCAAAACATAATCTTCTTTATTATCGGTTTTGGCAAAGTGCCAACATTTTTTATTTTTTTCTTAATTCATGAACGGGTTTTTCCGCTGGTATACGGTTCAAAGATTCTGGAGGATCAATTAACGGGCTACATATTGTCGATTATTGATCCTCACTTTCTAAAAATATTCCCGCTAACTTCATGTTTTTAAAATATAACTTGGATACGTTTAGTGATACCGATATTCGGTTTGGAGATTATTAACGTACCTATTGAATACTAAATAATTGCCAAGTTTCAAAACATAATCCTTTTAATTTTAGGTTTTGGCAAAGTGCTTACACTTTCTTGTTTTGTTAACTCACGAAAGGTTCATTCCGCTGGTACGGTTTAAAGATTCTGGAGAATCAATTAACGGGCTCCATACACATTGCCATAATAATCAGAAATTGATCATCACTTTCTAAAATAATTCCGCTAACTTCATGTTTTTAAAATGGTTATAACTAGCTTACGGTAGTGATACTGATATCTGGTTTGGATATTATTAATGTAGATATTGAATACTAAATAATTGCCAAGTTTCAAAACGAAATCTTTTTTATTTTAGGTTTTGGCAATGTGCTTACACTTTCTTATTTTGCTCATAACTCACGAACGGTTCATTCAGCTGTTTTCCGGGAGAAGATCAATTAACGGGCTACACCATAATAAGTTTCGATAATTGATCTTCAAGTCGTTCCGCCAGCTTAAATAATTCCACCAGCTTCACGTTTTTAAAACGGTTATAACTCGGTTATGGTTAGTGATACCGATATCCGGTTTATAAATTAGTAACGTATATATTGAATATTAGATATTTGCCAAATTTCAGAACATGATCTTTTATATTTTTGGTTTTGGCGAAGTGCCAACACTTTCTTATTTTGCTCATAACTCACGAACGGTTCATTCCGTTATTTTCCGGATAGAAGATCAATTAACGGGCTGCACAATTTTAGTTTCGGTAATTGATCCTCATATAGTTCCGCCAGTCAAAATTTACACTTTATTTTGATGATATCTTACTTTACTTTAATTTTATTGACATTCCGTTTGAAGAATTCGGAGGATCAATTAAGGCACTAAATATTGGCTCTAACTAAAAAATGTTTGCTCAAATTTTAAATTTTGGCACAATGCCAAAATTTTTCTATTTTGCTTATAACTCACGAACGGTTCATCCCGCTGGTATGCGGTTTAAAGATCTGAAGGATCAATTAACGCTCTATACTTTGGCATAATTTTCGGTAATTGATTCTCACTTTTAAAAAAAAATCCCATCACTTTACGTTTTTAAAACAGTTATAACTCGGTGGAGGCTAGTGATACCGATATCCGGTTTGGAGATTATTAACGTACATATTGAATACTACATAATTGACAAGTTTCAGAACATTATCTTTTTTATTTTCGGCTATGCCAACACTTTCTTATTTTGCTCATAACGGTTCATTCCGCTGCTTTCTGGATAGAAGATCAATTAACGGGCTACACAGTGGTACAAGTTTCGGTAATTGATCCTCAAGTCGTTCCGCCATCTTCAAAATTTCACACTTTATTTTGTTGATATCTCACTTTCCTTTAATTTTTTTCCGTTTGAAGAATTTGGAGGATCTATTAAGGCACTAAATATTGGCTAAACTAAAAAATGATTGCTCGAATTTTTAAATTTTGGCAAAATGCCCAAACCTCTCATTTTACCTGTTAATCACGAACGGTTCATTCCGTTGGTATGAGGTTGAAAGAGTCTTGGAGGATCAATTAACGCTATACACTTTGGCATAATTTTCGATAATTGATCCTCACTTTTTAAGATTTCGCTAACTTCGGGTTTTAAAACGGTTATAACCCGGTTGCGGTTAGTGATATCGATATCCAGTTTGGAGATTATTAACGTACATTTGAATACTACATAATTACCAAGTTTCAGAACATGATCCTTCTTTTCGGTTTTGGCAAAGTGCCAACACTTTCTTTTTTTCTCATAACTCAGTAACGGTTCATTTCGCTGCTTTCAGGATAGAAGATCAATTAGGATCAACTAACGGGCTACACAATGTTATAAGTTTCTCTAATTGATCCTCAAGTCGTTCCGCCAGCTTCAAAATTTCATACTTTCCTTATAACTCATTAACCATTGATTCCGCTGATGTCTGGTTTGAAGATCAATTAAAACTCTAAATATTGGCATAGGTTTTGTTAATTGATCCTCAAGTCGTTCCGCCAACTTCACGGACCTTTTATCTATAACCCTAGGACAATTTTTCATATTGTTTCTTCTATTTAAGATATACGCCTTTTGAGATTCGTGTTCGTAGCTAGTCAATTCGTTTTTGAATACGCCTACTTATTATATAGAGGCACTTAAAAATTTAGATTTTAATTATGCGGTTCTCATAAAAATGATTTTCGCTTTCCCCACCTTTATCATATTTTATTATTCATATATTTATAAAATATCTTATTTTCAATTTATAATTATATTTTATTTTATATAAGATATTAAAACCAGAATCGATTCGGGGCCAAGTTACTTGAAATCAATTAAAACCGGATCCAGACAATACCTTTTCCCATTAAATTTGCAAATTAAAATGTAGTTAATTTTTATTTTAAAAAAATTAAAATTATTCTTTGATTTTTTTAAAATAGAATGATCGTTCATTCGTATTCAAACAAAAAGAATAATTTACTATTTGTATATATCTATATTCGATTTGAATTATTTGAAACAAATTTGATTCGTTTTTGAATAGACCTATTGTAATAATCATGATTGAAATGATTAAAATATAGAAAATGAAATATTTTATATTTTAATCATTATATATAATAAAAAAATCGTTATATTTAACAATATATAGTTTATATAACGATGCTAAATCTGAACACGGATGCCTTTAAAACGATTTTCGCAATTTTTTGGATGATATTCGCAGTTTTTGGTTTTAAATCCTAGTTTATTATTCCAAATTATTAAAATACATATAATTAACACACATTATATTACACTAACTCTAGATAATATCTTTCTAGCTTTTTAACCATACATATTGCTCACGAGGTTGATTTAATTTTTTTGGTTAACTAACTTATTAAAACTCCAAAAAAATTTTTAACCTTTCAAGCACCATCAATATTATTCATTTTTAAAAGGTTAGTCATCAATTGATCTTAAAATGTAAAATATAGATTATGGATAGTCGAAAATCAAAAGATGCACATTTAAACAGCAAAAGAAAAATATAATTTAGTTTTCTTTAAAAAAAATTTTCTTACAATTAAATCGACATTTAAAATATAACTATATTTATAATGTCCGATTATGGTTATATAAATAAATATAATTTTTGATAATCGCCGAGTTAATTATTATAAAATCTAGATCTCCCGCAAAAAGATATTGAGAAAATTTTACATTTTGAATATTATATTTTCATATGTAGATATTTATCGTTTGAAGTTTGCATTTGGAAGAAAAAAAAATATGGTGGGTGGTATAATTCAAATAAATAAATGGAGCTTAATTCTGCTGTAAACAGAATTTATAAATCGTTTTAATTAGCTTATTGTGGGCTTCTTATTTAAAAATTTTAAATTAAAAATATTTGTAGATGCAAAAGGAACGAGGATATAAATCAAAATGCAACTGATTTCATTAAAATATACTGATAAACTTGCTACTCTTACAATGTGTATTATATTTTGAGAGGGTAAAAGGAAATATTTAGAACAACTAAAAAAGAATATCAAAAATTAATTTTTTCTAAATTATATTAGATATTTAATAATCTCTTCAAAAAGATTCATTAATAACCCTCAACAAATAAACTTTTTTTTTGTATATTTTTTTATAACTATATTATATAATTAGCAAAATAATTTTTCGTAATATAGAAATTAATTGTGTAAAATAAATAATTAATTAATTTCACTACTTATTAACATTAATATATCCTAATAAGAGATTTCTCTTAACTTTCTTAAATTATAAACCTTATAAAAACAAGCTAGAATCATAAAAAATGGGTTGAAAGATTATAATGACTCCATGTCATGCGGGTGTTAAAATATTAGTAAATAATATTATAATCGATAAAGGAAAAAAATTTACATAAAAAAATTCTTGTTTAAAAAGAATCTAAAATTATAACCAAAAAATGTAAGGAATCTAGTAATTACGATATTACAAAAAATATATATTTACTTCCTTTAAAAATTTATAAATATATATATAATAATTGATAATCTATAACTCTCAGAAAATATGTTATGCTAGCAATATGCTTTATATCAGTCCCGTTACATTGTAATTTATGTTACTCTCACCTGCCACCCTTCCAAAAATTTATCTTTCTTTTCTTTTGATTCATTCGTTCATTTATACGGAAAGTGATACGAAACTATTGTATTTCTCGATGTTTCTTTTGAGAATATCGCTGCATGGGCCCAAAACCCTTTCGAATTTGGCCCGGTCTAGCTTAACACATTTCAAATCTGTTTTGGCTATAACGGTGGCAGCCCGAGGCCTGTCTAATAGTAGAGCTATTTCGCCTGAAAAATAAATAGGCAAAATTTCGAAGATATATGAAAGTAAATATTATTGAACGAACGGGGAATAAAACATTAATATTCTATTTTGGCCATATGTATATTTCCAAAAAATATTTAAGAAAAAAAGGTGAAAAAATGATTAAAAAAGTTAATGGGATATATAAATGAAAAATGGGAAGGAAAGAGGGATTGATGATGAATGTGTGGAAAAGGTAAATAGAATGAAAAAAAGTTTGATTTTAATTAGAATAATTAAAAAAATTGGAAGCGAAAAAAAAGAATTTAGAAAATTGGAGTAAAATGAGATTTTCATAATAACGATTGTGATTTTAACTTAATTGTGTCTGTTTTAATAACGTGTTATCGATTTTGCAGAATAGAAAGGAGTATTACTAAGAGTTGGCAATAAAATCAATTAATAAAGAGTGGATAAGACTAAAACGCATAAGTGCCCTTATTTAAAGTCCCTAATTTTTTTAAAAATGAACAGAAAAGATATTAAAGTGAAATAAAAATTAATTAATTTATAAAAACACATACTAAAATGATCGTTGATTGGGTTAAAAAAAATAAATGGATTTTTTAAAAATTACATACCAAAATAATCAGAAGTACCAAGTGTTCCAACTTCCGCGATTTCTCCGTCAGCTTTCTTTTGATAAACTCCAGCTTTACCCTAAAAAAGCGCCAAAGATTAGAAAACAAATACTAATTTTGTAAAATAATTAATATGAACTAAATTTATATGGAAAATAGATTGAAAGAACAAAAAAAATATATATCTAAAAGAAAGATAAAATAACAATTCACCTCCAATATAATGTAAAATTCCTCCCCCTTATCGCCCTGCTTAACTATAGTTTCACCCTCGTGAAAAAATATGGGAGTTAAAGCGTCGGCTACAGTCAATTTTTCCCATTCATCTAGCGACTCCAGTATGCTCACTTTACTCAAAAATTCCTTGTACATTTTGCGTTTACGTAGTGTCGAACCCTACATATATTAATTTTTAAAATAATTTTATCCTTTTTTAAATTCAATTTTTTTAATTAATGTTTCCCCAAATCCTTTCATTTTACTAAAGCTAGGATATAAAAACAATTGAATTAAAAAACTACAAAATTGGAGTTTTTTTTAAATTTTCAAATTTTTTTTCTAAACAGTTGATATAATATACAAAGTTAATCAATTTTTACATTTTAAGGAAATAATTATTATTTTCTAAATCCATATATTTTTCAAAAACTGATTTAGAAAAATAATAAAAATATATAAATATAAAACAAGTTATCATCGAATAATTGAAAAGCAAAATGTTTGTATCTAAAAAGTAATAATTTTAAATGCCTTGTTTATTTTCATACCATGAGTATTCGCCTATAACTATCCCTATCTATCCCCCAAAGCTTTAAATCAGTCTTGGCTTTAATGGTAGCAGCCCGCGGAGTCCCATATATAAGAGCCAACTCCCCAAAAGAACCGCCTTCGTTTAAAGAGTATATATATTGACTATTCACGAAGACCTGGAAGAAAAATATAAAAGATAATCGAATAAAGAAAGAATGATTTGTTACTAAAAAAATGAAAAAAATATATATAATTTGTAAAGCCCGATATTTATTATTTGCCATCTTACTTTTCACTTTCCCTATAGTTCATAGCATATTAGCATAAATTAATGGTTCAAGTTAAAACTTTTTCTTTATTATATTCGTTTTTTCCTTATTAGTTTTACATTAAAATTTCATTTTATTAAAAATGAATGCCATCTTCCTATATAAGAAAAAAGAAATAAACGAAACAGAAATTTTTTTTAAAGATATAATAGATTTTTTTTAAATAAAATTAACATCCACTTCTCCCGTATCGATAATGTAGAAGTTGTCTCCTTCATCACCTTCAATTAAAAAAATATATTAAAACTTTAAAAAGAAACAAAAATAAAATCAGAGATAGAAGAAAATAAAAGAAATAATATATTCTGATAATAATAAATATAATCTTAAATAATTGGAATAAAGGTAATTTATTTGACATTAACCTTGTTTTATAACAATATCGCCGGCTTTGTGTTGCACCAAAAACATGGCGTCAAATATGTCACTTTATATTTATATAAGAAAGTAAAATATAAAAAAATATAAGATTGCGTGCATGTGTGCTTAATTTTATCTATTCACTTTTTAATTTGACTTAAAACATAAACTTAAATTGGCATTGGTGGGGTAGTATATTAGTAAGTAACGTGATTTTCAACTAGTATTTCATTATTATAAGAAAAATTGTGACTTAAACATTATTAGTCGAAAGAGACAACGAAATAGTCGAATCTTAATTTTAGACAATTTATAAAATAAATTTTTTTTACAAATTGTCTTTATATTGCTATAGTTTTCATTTAATTGCCTCTTTATAGGAAAAATTTTTGACTACAATTTTATGAGTTGTACATTATATATTAACATCTTACCTTCTTTCTTTCTCATCCAGATGCGAAAATAACACGTTTTTAGAAATAGCTTTGCCCAATGATTCCATTGTCTTGTAATCCTTGGGGATAGTCTTACATATTTTTTAATTAAAGTTTTAAATAATTTTAAAAAAAATCATAAAATATTTAAATTAGCTGTTAGTTATTAATAGCCTTTTTAATAAACTGGCCGACATAAATTCCTATCACCTCTTTTTTCCTTCATCTTACTTTCTAAAATTTATATATTTGTGTTTTCATACCTTCTTAACGTAATTGGCCGCGTCTTCCTCGGTGTAGACCTCTGCGCTTACTGCTCCCCTTCTAGGCCGGCGAGTAGGCGAAGGTGGGGGGGCGGCTGAACTCGTTTCCCCACTCCCGTTTCCCGTATCACCTTGGCCATCCTGAATGACGGAATGGGAAGGGGGTGATGGAGGTGGCGAGGAAGAAATATTTGTCGAGGTTTCTTTGTCCTTTTTTATATATTAGAAATATAAGAAAATAGTTTTAAAAAATAACATAGATTTCTTGAATCTTCTTCGCGATTAAGTTTAAAGTAAGCTTAAAATAAAGGTTAAGTGTCTCTACGAATATAAAAATGGGTAAAAAAAAATTTAATATAAAGATCTCGATTTCTACAAGTCTAATAAATATTTCAGTAAATTTATATATAATTTTGGCGAGTTTAGGATAAAAAAAATCGACTAGGAAAATAGGGATTTCAGGGTTACTCGTTGGCAGTATTTGTCATGTATTTATAACAAACCTAAATAAATAGTTACTTAAAAGGAAGGAAAATATTTCTTCAATTAACCAAAATTTTAAAAAATTATTCTCTTTAGTAATCCGTACACTTTAAATTTTATTAAATAATTAATAAATAACCATAAAATTACCATAAGGTTCGATTCCTTGAGACAAGATAAAAATAATTTTATGTAAATAGTTTTACCTGCAATTTATTCGGAAGCTAAAAAACTCTAATAGCCCTATTTCAATTATAACTAGATCGCCCATAATAGCGAAACACTTAATTTAAAAATTAAATTATTTAAAGTATATCTTTTTTTATTTTAAAACCAAAAAGTCAATTTCAAATCGTGAATAATATAATTTTCAATGTAAAATTATTCCATAAAAAATAAATTTACTCTTTGTTTTTTAGGTAAGATCATAGGCGTAGCCAGGATTTTCTTAGGGAGGGGGGAAGGAACTAAAAATTTCTCATTTTGGGCAAGATAGGAGGTTAATTTTAATTAAAAATATTATCTTTATTTAAAATATAAGAAATTGGTTAAGAGATTATATTAAAAAAATAAGCCTGGAACAAATAGGAAATATAAGTTCGTTTTTTTTGAAAAAAATGATGAACGGCGTTCCTTTTATTTTGACGAATTTGATCGTGGAGGCGTTACTTTTTTATGACGAACGCGTTCGAATTTAACGTTCGTTCAATTTTAAATATACTTTTTATTTTTATTTATTAGAAAAATTTAATATTAATCTAAATCTTTTTAAAAAAAGTATTATTTATATTTTTTAATCGGCTAAATTTCCTTTTCACATTTAAATTATTTTAACACGCCTTTATTATAGTTTATTAATTTAAATATTGTTGTTTATATTTTAATTTAATAGATTAGAATAAGCATGGATATTATTATTTCATCACTATCATCTGATTCTGAAAATCCAAAATCAGATGAATTAATATTACCATGACCATTTATGATAAATATTTAATAGTAACATCCTATATTGTAGGAACTAATTCAATGCTAATTAAGTGTAAAATGTGCCCAAAAAGTATTAAATCAATGTCAAAATCTTCAAGTTCCAATTTAAAATGACATTTGATTGTAATATTATTTATTTTATTTTATATAATATAACTAAGTAAAATCATTAAAGAACAAAAAATGCATTTGGGCATGAATTAACATTACCATGACCATTTACGATAAATATTTAATAGTTACATCCTATATTGAAGGAAATAATTCAATGCTTACCAAGTGTAAAATGTGCCCAAAAAGTATTATATCAGTGTCAAAATCTTCAAGTTCCAATTTAAAATGACATTTGATTGTAATATTATTTATTTTATTTTATATAATATAACTAAGTAAAATCATTAAATTTGAAGAAAACGCATTTGGGCTATTTGACTCCAACAATAACGACATTTATTTTAAAATTAAAAAAAATTAGTAGCCTAAAATATGGCCAACCAATGATAGACGCAGTATTAAATGAGATTAATAAATGGTATTAAATTTATCACTATCAAATTAATTACATATATTTTATTTTTTTTGAAGATTTGAACATATATATATGAATTAGAGACCTTCATGGGCCGGGCTTGGGTTCGTTGGAAATTTTTGCAATAGGGCTTGGGCCTAAATTTTTAAATTCAAATTTAGCTTATTTTAAGGATATTTAATAGGACAAATATAACAAATCATTCTGATTTTATTAGTGTTATTTATCAAATTTCCTATACACCTTGGGAGAGTATATATTTTTTAAATCGGAAATTGGTATAATTTTACTTAACTTAACACAACGGCCTGGGCACGAAACAGCGAAAATCAGGGAATATTCCCAAAAATGTTCCCAAAGATGGCCAACATTTTCGATATGACATATATTTTCCCAAGTTAGCGTCAAATTCAAAGCAAAATCCCAACAGTAGCAGAAAATTTAAAAACAATTGTTAGACGTAGACAAATAGATATTCAAGTAAATTTTTATAATATTTGAAAATAAAATTTTAATTAGAAAACTCAAAAAGGACATAATTTCATAAACTATAAAGGTTCTGTGAATTTATACACCATAAAAAATCATAAGTATGAAACATGATATATCTTGCAAATCAAATCAAGGTACATAAATATCATAATCAAATTATTGCAAAAAGATTTTCTTTTAGAGTTTTATATTAATTGTAATAAATGTAATTTAAGATGCAAGTTTAATTGAAAATTGCAAATAATGTATAATATTCCTTTAAACAATTAATCAAATAAATCTATCCATACAATTACAATGTAAATATTCCATTCACTTTTAATTTACATATTATTTATAAATATTGTTGAGATGTATATTTTATATGAATTTTTAATAAAATATTTATTCTGTTTCTATATGGTTGAGTTATTATAATATTATATATTATCCAGTGCAAATATAAATGATATCCTTCTATGGAAAGTATAAATAGTTAAGATAAATTGTCAATGTAAATGAGTTATTATTTAAAATATAAATAATTAAAAAACCCTTCATTTAAAATGAGTAAATTTTTATAAGATAGAAAGTGCTTGGCATGCTTTTAAATTAAATTTAAAAAGATTAGAAAATTATTCATTAACCCTTCAATACTCTGGTGATTATTTTAATCATTTATTCTGATTTTCACATATTCTGAAAGTAAGTATAATAAAATTTATAATGTAATATCATTTTTCATATACCATAATAAAAATGTTGATACAAATGATACAAGAAATCCTGAAATTATAATATTTTATAATATGACTAAAGGTAGGTTAGATATGGTGTATTGAATGACAAAAAATGATACAATTTTAAGCAGGTCTTACACACTTCTAAACATAATATCAATTAATTCACATGATATAGCAAACATAAAAATATCTATTTTAAGAAGTAATTATATATATAAAATATCAATGGAACTTATTAAACCATATTTAGAAGTACAACAAAAATGATCAGATTATCCTGACTTTTGAAGGAATCTATATGCAATCAATGACATATAATTTATACCAAAATATTAAATACAAAAGCAGATATATACAAAAGGAGATATATATTTGAAAATTAATTACTGTATGCTATGTATAATTTTGGTAGATATTTAGCAATATTATTGTATTATAAATGGTCTATGCTATGATAAAAATATTGAATATTGTTTTATTTTATATTAAGCACATTAGGCAATAATTTTGGAAAAAGATTAATACATATTTATTGCTCTAGATTAAATAATTTTATATAAATCATTTTTATAATATCTTTAAAAAAATTAATAATAATCATAATATATTTAATTAAAAATATAATAAATATTTATATCAAAATATATAAGATAATAGCATTATTATTAATATTTTAACAATATATATATTATTTAAATTTATGACTTTTTTAGTGGAGTCATACATAAATGGGAACATTTTTTATTTTTCACTATTTTGGTTTTCACTGTTTTGTACCGAATTCAACACAACTGGTTTAGAGTGTATAGCTACTATAGGTAATAAATATTATTTATATTTTGAGAAAAATTACATAACACTCTTTTTTCTGAACTAATTAATTTTTTTATGTTTTTTTTATATATGGGATGGGTATTATATGACTTTCTCCTTTGTAATAAATTGTAGTATTTTTTTTTAGATATAATGAATAAAAATCAAGAAATAGTTAAAAAATTACATTCTCAAGAATACAAATTATTAGCAAACAACTCATTGAAGAGCAAGGTCTGGGATTCTTTTAGTATAATAATAGACAATCATAATAATAAAATCGGATATGTTCAATGTAAAAGATGACAAGACATACTTTCATATTCAAATAAAGTAGGATCATCCCATTTATCAAGAGATAAATGTAAACCAAATCCTATAATTAAATTATCTTCTTTTTATCCAATTAAAAATGATAAAACATCATATACATGTGAAAAAAAAGGAAGTTATCAATAGATGTGTAAAATTTTGTGCTGTGGATATTCGCCCATTTCAATGTATAGCTGGTAAAGGCTTTAAACATTTAGCACAATATTTTATTGAAGTTGGTTCAAAGAAGGGTTTGATTGATGTTGAAAATATTTTGCCAAGTCCGATAACTATATCAAGGCATATGAATGATATTTCTCAAAATTTGCACAAAAAAATATTACCAGAAGTACAAAATGCTTTAATAAATTCTTTTTGTAGTGCTACAACTGATTTATAAACAGATTACTTCAAAAAGTACACATATATAACATTAACTCTTCACTACATAATTAAATGGAAATTAATAAAACGTTTTGTTTATTTCTCTTTTTTTAGAAGATAAAAAAACAAGTGAAAATATACGCAAAGAACTTGTTTCTAATTTTGCTAAACTTGGATATGCTTCTGGTGCATTTTATAAAATCACATTCATCACTGATCAAGGTAGAAATTTGATACAAAATATCTTAACAAGGTGGAATTCGAAATTAAAAATGTTTAAAAGTATTTATGAACAATATGAAGAAATTTTAGATTGTTTACAGAAAAGAAATATGGAGGATAAGCTTAATTCTATTGATAAAAATGGGTTGAAATCATTAATAGACATGTTGACCCCATATGATCAGGCAACCAAGGAGCTGGAGGGAGATAGAAGTTCTACATTATTTAAAGTTTTATTAATTTATAAAACATTGGAAAAGTTA